ACCCTTAAGCAGCAAGAGGTTTAAAATCAGGGAAAAGATAAGGTGCACAAAAAATGAAACATAAAATGCATATGTTGTTTTATTGTTTTTTGAGATACAATCAAACACAAGAAATATTTGTAGTGTCTTTCCAAATAGACAAGTCATTTGCTTGAAAACTCAGAAAAATAAATAACTGTTGTGAAAGTGTGAATAAATAGAAAACAATGTACCTTTGATGCATTAAAATTTGCATCAAAATTAAAACTATTAAATATTATAAAAATGCAATGCACCATCTTGTGGTCATCTGAAAGGAATGCAATTTACTTTTTTTTTTAGTTTCATAATGTCCACATATTTCAGTTTTATTTTCTATTATTATTTTTAACATACCTCCACTTAAAAATGATACTCCTCTTAATTATCAAACAATGAGGAACTACAAAAAGGACCTCATGATCAAGAGCTGTTTGTTTTGATTAATATTTCACCAACTATGTGATATAAAAGGCATTTTATTTTTACCTTTAAAATAATAATTACAAATTTTACCACCACCATCATCAAAGGTAAGATTTATGTATGAAAGAATATTAGCTCTTCTTAAATTTTATCTATAAAGTTCATATATCTTCCAGGCTATTTTGATAAAGATAGGAAATTGGCATTTATTCCTTTAAAGAATACTAGAAGGAAAAGGGGGTAAGAGAAAAGAAAGATAGTGAAGCACTCAGGGACTGAAATTGTGACTAATACATCCTTGCTTACCAGTAAAATTGCCAAACACAGTTCATTGTATACTTTACTCTCAATAAATATTTGGTGAATTCATGAATAATTTCACAAGTGTTTGTTATTAAAATTTAAGAAATCTAAGTTAAAGGCATTATTGTGATAGTGTAAATAAACTGTGAATTTCAGTATATCCTCATGCATGTATAATGATAAATTCCAGGAATATTTTGTGGTTAATTTTAATAAATTAAGTAAGGTGTTAAACAACTGTATAGCTCAAATTATTGACATGTTCCCCCAGGAAAACAAAGAAGAATTGAGCCTAAGAACTTATTTTGTCAACATAAATGAAATAGGTCACTTCTAATAAACCTATTCTTTTTAAATATATCATCATAGAATCAGAAGCTCCTTTTAACTCTGTATTATAGACTTTTCTAAATAGGTAACTAGAATAAAATTTTTTAAGTTAATTTAGATAGATAAATTAATGGAAAAATAGATAATATAACATCAGACACTGTTGGAGATCCTGGAGAGATAAATGTAAAACATTAAGTCCTTATTCTAAAAGTATAGTAGGGAAGACTCATGTAGAAACCAACAAACACAAATAAAATAGTGGGGCAAGGTGTAGTGGAGCAGCCTTAGTGTTAAAACAGTTAAGTGCTTGGCTTCTAATCAAAAGGTTGGCAGTTCGAATCTACCCAGCAGCTCCACAGGAGAAAGACCTGGAGAGTTGCTTCCATAAACGTCACAGCCTAAAGATCCCCCTGGGCAACTCCACTCTGTCACATGGAATTACTATGAGTTGAAATAGATTCAATAGCAACTAATGACAACAACAACAACAAGATGTAATGGAGATGAGCATAAAATTCAGATGATATGCATCTAGGTTTAATGCAGGATGTGAAATGCAATGGGCAAAATACTTTCCCTACTTTCTCAAGGGGCCTCTTTTTAGAATGATGCCAGTAACTGAAATCAACCAAGCAAAAAAAAAAAAAAAAAGGCTTTTTATATACAGGTCACATTGTTTTGTCACAAAAAGAAATAAAAATCTACCCCAAGCTTGCCTAAATAAGTTTTACTGCATGCCC